TTGCTGATCTTAGTATTTGAAAGTAAAGGGCTGTCTTCCAAGAATTGGGCTTTAGTGACAGTCGTCCTTAACCAGTTACTGTGGAACACTATTTTCTCTTTATGTCAGGAATTTAGTACCACAGAAAAGTAATTGAGTTGCCTTTTTTTTTTAATAAAAATAAAGGAAAATGTCAAAGTTTTCTTTCTTTAATGCAACAGTGTCTAAATTCCCCACGGTTCAAACTGGGCCACTTGAGCCATTGGTGATAATAGTTACTGACAGAGAACACACAGTGTTTTTTTTTGCAGTGTTGGGGCTGCAAATGTTTTTTTCTGTGACTTCTAAAAGGCTCCGGGGTTATGGCTAGCTTTCTCCCGTGATGTAATTCATGTAATATGCTTTCATCATGATGCATCCCTAAAGGGAAGGTTATGACCCTCTTACCATTGGGTAGTCTGGTAACTCTTGCGTTTTGTCGAATATACATCAGAGAATTTGTTGCTTAGGGACTGGTGGCATGGACTAGATGGTCACTGTACGAACAGCTTGCAGCGGATACTCTCCGTGAAAGCTTCTCCTGACGTGTTGTTCCCGAATCTCAGGTTGGCTTGCAGCTCTTGTGTGTGAGCCCAGGTCTTCAGCAGGACCTGTGAGCCACGAGTGCCAACCACCTTGTGAAGTGCAGTTGGCTCCCTTGTGCCTGAGCTCGAGTTTGTTCCTCGGGAAGTGAGAAGTGCTCAGTTTCTCCCTGCACTCACAAGCTAAATTGCCATTTTCAACTCGGGCTTTGGGCATACCAGAGTTGTACAGTGAAATGCTTTCTGTTTTGGAAGAGATTTGCAGTATGTTTTTTGTTGCCTCAGCTCTGGCTAGCTGGGCCATCTTTTGTGTGGAGCATATCAAAAGCAAACAGAAATAAAGGGGTAAATGCTGGCAATGAGTCGTTTAATTCAATGGCCTCTCCTGCCAGAAAATTACAGAGTGTGATAGTGCTTTGTATGGGCAGGGTGCTCTCATTGACAGTCAGGAGCTTGTGTCCAAGGGCAAGCACTGTGAACATTTATAGAAAGGCATTTCATGCGTGCCACAACTCATTTTAATTATCTTGTTTTAAAGAAATAGTTTAGCTTGCAGTAAATGCCATGCCATATGTGAATACTAATGTTTTATAATTTGATTGTTACAAAGGAGTCCAGAATACAGATAAGATGCGATAGTCTGAGCGCTTGAGAAGATTCCCCATTTCTTCTTGTCGCCTTCCCCTACCTCAAAAAAACAAGAAAAAATATCATAGCCTTTCCTTGGGAGAGCAGAGCTGACTTCAGCAGACATGGAATGGAGAAGAGCCCTCTGAAATTCTGGCACAGAGAGCAGTCCACATGGTCATTAGCTTCCTGTTACGCTGAGACCAGTACGAATGTGGCGTTGCCATGGCCATGCACCGCCACGCAGCTCTGCTCTTGGCAGGTAGAAGGCTCTGCAGAGCTCACCACCTCCTCTGCTGCCTCTGCCTTGCTGGAGCATCTGGAAGAGGAGTGTCATTAAAGGGTATATTTTTATTTGTTTAAAAGAAATCCTAACCACTAATTTTTTAAGCCTCTAATATACACACACCATATGTTTAACCCAGTCTGTGACTCTGCCCTTGCTTTCACGTGTTATGTGCTAATGCAGTGCTATTTCTGACTCTAGTTGACATGAAGTTCTATAAATGGAGATAATTTGTTTTGCTTTCTGAGATACTAAGTTGTCTGTGCAAGGACTTTCTCCTGCTATAAACAGTACTTAAAATGAGGTGACTGCAACCTCAGCTGGTATTTCTGGGTACTGTTATATATCATGTATGCAGTATACACCAGCTGGCAAAAATATTTTTCTGTGCTTTACATCTCTTGTTGTCTTGCTTGCTTTCTTTTCCTGTTTTCTGCTTGCCTTCCCAAGCTATTTCTCATTTCACCTCATTTTTTTATGTGATTTTTAAAATTCAGACCTAATACATTCAGTAGTAAAAGGCCCAAGGCACCAGTGTCGCATAGGCAATCAAATATTCATGCTCTTTTCAAACATTTATTTGTATAGTGTTAATAAATTAGAAGACAGGAATGTGACCTTTTCTTCCGTATGAATGAGGGCAGCTCTCTGACATAGCAGCACCTTTAATAGATCTTAAAAGTGTAATTACAAGGATCTAACACTTAGGTGTCTGCTACCAATTTCTTTTGCAGTGGTCATTCTAGTGGGGAGATTTTCAAACAAGGCTCCCACATGTTAGAGCTTCTCTTTGACACATAAGAATTTTGTTAACCTTTTAGCAATCCAATACAAGATTTAAAATGCAGAAATTGCATAATCATGTCTCTGTGCATACTTTCATCTTGCATTTTGTTGAAAATTGTTTTTTCACTTCTAAGTCTGTATCATTGAGGTGCTCTTGTTGCACGCTTGATTTTTTGAGGCAGAGATTGATTTGATAATTTGAGGTTACCTATATGATTGCCAGAAGGAATCCAGCATATACTACCATGCTGTAAAGTTTGGGTGTACACTATTTATCCTGGCTTACAAAGCAATAAAAGAGTTTTCTTTTCAGATCTAAAATGTAAAATAGAGCTGGCCTGAGTTACTGAGTTCAGTGCAGCTCTCAGTGGCTCAACTGGAGATTGATTCATGAAGGGGCAGCAGGACACTGGGGTAAAATAACCCAGAGGCTGCGAGACCAAGTCCATGCCTGGAGCTGAGCATAAGGCACAGCCGAGGCAGCTCTGGCTCCCTGGCGAGCACCACTTTCCTTCGTCGTTCAAATACCGCTCTCACAGGGATTATTCCAGAGGCAATTAGGTTGATGGAAAGACACTGTATTTCAATCCGTTTTCTTTCCAAAAAACTTCAATAAATATGTCTATGAACAACATCATAATAAGCAGTGTAGTGTAATGGCAAAAGCTAAGAAATCCCTGACAAAACATGTAGTGTTTTAGCTACCCAGGGAGTTCGTAATGTAAGAGGATTCCAGGACTTGTAAGTTTAATGAAAAGTAAGCAAGGAAAATAGCTTGATTCCTGGATTTTTTTCCGTTCAACTTAGTTACTTCTTTTGTTCCTTAAGCTTATTTTTTTTTCTTTATATCCTTCTTCCAAATAAAAAGTGAGAATTTGATTTTTGACTATCACAGGAGCTGTGGTTGCACACCTGGATGACCTCCTTAGGACACAGAGGACATTCATTTGTTTCCAAATGGTGTTTATTTTTTTTAAGTTCATCAAGAAAAGAAAAGTAAACGTTTGGCTGGAAAACAAAAACATTAATTGTTTGTGCGTCTCCACATTAAGCGTGTTTAAAACCTCCCTCTGGAAATCAGTTGTCACATTCAATGCCAGCTTTTATAAATGGAAAAGAGACTTATTTGGAATGAAAGCCTTGTAGGTTCATTATGTAACAAAAGTGACAGTGAACACCTTCCTAGAGAGGAGTTGTATGGGACAACTTGACCAGCTGATTTTACATTGATTTTCAAGGTGCGGACAAGAGCTCAAGTTTAATGGCAATTTACAAGGTAGTTTTATTGCGCTTTCTGTAAATTGCAAAATTATGCAAAATGGGTTCTTTAAGTGCCTTTTCAAATCTCGTGTGTATAAAGTTACAGGTAGCAGTAAGTCTAGCAATGTGCTTTTATATAGTTCCCTTAGCCTAAAAATGTGTCTGCACCCAAAATGGTGCAATTGGGAGTTTGTCTTCTGATGGGAGGATAAAATTAGAGCTGTATATGGATTACCTTCTGGTCTGTCTTCATCTTGATTTCTTTTTCCCTGCAAAAATGGGGTACAAAATAGGGTATATGGAGGAAATACAAGCAGTATTTCTTCCCTTCTTCCTCTTTGTAATGATTTGGGGGAGAATTGATGAGGTTTCAGATTTTTGGAGTCTGTTCTCAAATTTTGGAAAGAGGGTTTGACCATGTCAGCTCCTTGGAGGGCCAGGTTGAGCCAGCAAAGATGGAGCAAGCTTTGAAAGTTGTTTCTTGTCAAAGAACGAGTTATTTCTTGTCAAAGATCCTCATGCAGTTCAGGAGCTTTTTCTTAACAAAATTTTCCGTTTTGATCTGTTCTCTCCCCTCTCTTCATTTGCCTGGCTTGGTTTCTGAGCACCAGTGTATTAGGCAAATATATTTTCAAAGTAGCTTTTTGCAATTGGCTTTATGCTTCCACTTTTCATTTTAATATTTCTTAGGATGGCTGAAACTTCAGGGCCATGTCAAGGCTCATTCAGAACTGTAGCAGTGTTGGTGAGCAAACCTTGGGGCAGCCCTGCCACATGTGATTTGCAATGCTGCAATCTCTGTATGTTTACCGAATATCATTGTTTTGGCAGTGTCATGGAAAGATTAAAGATATGAATTGTTTGTGTTGTAAATAGTATGACCAGGTAGTCCCAATTTACCTCTCGATGGCCCTCTCTGTTTTCTCTCTATTGACATCTACATTTTCCTGCATGCCTTCAGGTGGAGAATAAACAGCTGTGGTGAAAGCGCAGTCTAACTTGTCAAAGGAACTATTCGTAGAATGAGGTTGAGCTCAGACGAAGACCATCAAAAACATTTTTAAAATCATTTGAGACGTATTCAACATTTTAAATCTATCAAATATCTAACCAAGGGTTTGCCTTTCGAACATTTATGGTATGATGAAGTAAAAATCCTTAAATCTTTGGATATTGTTTTTTCAGGCACCCTTGGAAGGATCTTATTTTTGCTTAATGAAAAATTCTTTGGTATGTGTGAGGTTTTTTGTTTGTTTTTAACAATATTTCACTGTTCCGTAAGAATACTATGCCTTTTTTCCCCCCCCCTTTCCCTCAAGTGTTTCCCTCAAGTGTATTATAAAATGAAGCATTGTGGGCACACTAGAAAAAAACAAATGTATGCAGTGTTTCAAAACAAAATTAACACTAGCTTCCCTGCCCCAGAGAGAATTCGCTGGTCCCCCAGGACTGGGCAAGGGTGATGTTTCCCGTGTTCCTAGCAAGAATTGAGGTTTGCGGGGAATCCCACTGGCAAGCCAAGTTTCCCGTGGCGGTGAGGCTGTCCTGTGGGACCGTGTCGCCCTCCTGCCCTTTGAGGGGTCTGTCATCTCCCCCGTCCCTCAACGCACGCCGTGGCTCGTCTGCACGATGGCTCTGCGAGCAGCTCTCCGCTTGGAGGAGGCCCGTGCTCCATGTGCTGCTGCTTCCTGGCCCGCTCCTGCCTCCGGGGCAGAGGCTGCTCTTGTGCCCGGCCTCCAAGCAGAGGGGGCTACCAGAGGCGGAGACCTGCCGTGTTCCCCCGCGGAGAGGCCTGCTCGCGGGCGGGGAGCGCCTGCTCTCCAAGCGCAGCAGCAAATCTCTTGGCATTGTCTCTACCTCCTACCTGAAGTAGGAGCTCACCTACTTCTTGGCATTGATTTAAGCCTATTCGTTTCCTCTTCCCATTTTTTTTCTTTTATCAGTAATTACGCTTCCCTTTCTTTGAACGTCATCTATGTTGTATTGAGTCTGTTAAGGTGCACTGGTGTGTGAGCTTTGTTTTCAGATACTAGATTTTTTGCTTTCCTTACTCCTGCAGATTTGTTGACAGGGAACAAGCAAACAAACAAAAAAAGGAGCAAAATTCATAGAATGTATCTGAAAATTTAAGCTATGTTTCTCCCTGAATACTTACTAGATTCAAGTATCAAGTCTGCTGGTGCTTCAGTATCTTGAATTTTAAACTTTAGAGTTTTATGCAAGTAAATCCAATCTTGTTATATAGTTTAGTGTGCTGTAATGAAAATAATTCAGTATCTTAGCATGAGCAATCCTTCCTATGAGCAATCTGCTCATAGGAATTTCATTGTCATTTAATTCTCCTTAATGAAAATCTACCTGAAAAATAGTTAGTACTAATTAGAGTAGGGTTTTAGAACAAGCCATGGCCATTCTGTCCTTGCGTATTTAGTGTTGAAAAATGGGTTGTATAATGATGATGATAAGTAATAAATATCAGATTGATAAATTAGCCTTGCATTCCCGCTGTTATGCAGAGACTGGCTAGTTACACCAGCCCGCGCATGGGCAGGGAACGCACAGGACAAGGTGCTTTTTTATGCCCGTCTCCTTTAGGCAAAGCACATTCCCTGACTTTATGTCAGCTGCATTGGCTTGATCTTGTCTAGCACCACAAAACAAACTGTGTGCAAGGCTCAAAGGCCACATCCGTAGAGATGGAAGAGGCTACTGAAATGTTACAAGTTACTGGCATCACGAGGAGACTTTGATTTATTGGTTTGGTGTTTTGTCAGCAGTGAGACACGAACACTTCATTTGACTGAATTTAGATCATGGAAGCTGCGAGGGAGATAGGTGGCTTAGGAGCCTAGGTAGTAAAGCTTTTCATTCCCGCATAACCATTTCACGTTTCTATTAGTCTGATTGAGAAGCATGCTACCAGGCTGCTTGCTGTTGGGCTGCCTCAGTCCAGTTATCTGTTTGGCTTTTGTCCACATGACTTGCATCACTGTGATAATTAACATTGTGATTAGCAATCTGAGCAACAACAGAAGCCCGGGTAAATATGGAACTTACTTTCTCAAACATAAAGCTACTTCTTTAAGTCGGCAGCAGTGCAAAATTAGCATTGCGGGAGAAAGAAACTTGTGCTTCTGCTGTCTTCAGAGCATATATTCAGGAACAATAAAAGACGTTATTATGCAGAGTTGTTAGGCTGGAATCTTTCATTAGCTACTTGCTATAAATAATTAGAGAAATCTTGGCTAAATGAAATTGCATATATTTATGTTAAAGTCTGTTATTTTCTGTTTTCTTTAATAATTCAAAGCCATTTGTCATGACCTACTATGTTTCTCAAAGGGTTGTGCATTGCCTCATATTCTGCTCACAGCTGAAGAATTTGTGAAGTGACCTACTGGAACGTCCGTATAAAAAACCCTTTTCATGCTAAGAATGTGCCAACTCTGAACGGTTTGGCTGTCTCTGAAGTGACCATGCCTCGTTTTTTTGTGTAGAAAAGATGAGAAGAAAGATGTTTCAGATAGGGAGATGCTTTCTTGTTAAAGATGTCACTTAGAAGTTTCCGTCATGGTAATGCGAGGTGTGGAGACCCAGCAAGGGCAGCTTGTACCAGATGGGAAACTTTGCTAATTGGTTAATTCTGCTTTAGTGTCTGGCCACCACTTGGCACAGTAGCGTAGAGGATTTTACATAGATCCAGCAGGGAAGCATCTGCCTTTTATTAGCTTGAAATATGGAAACAGCTTTGAAGGAATGAACCTCTTTAGAGAGGTTTTCTTACATTTTAGCATGTTCCAAGAGCATCCTCTTTAACTCTACGTGGTCACTGCCTTTTTGAAGTTTAATTTAAAATTGGATCTTTGGTTTTTCAATGAGAAGTAATGGCCTCAAGACAGTGGCTAATGATTCTGAAAGTGAAAAATCGCATTTCAGTAAATGTGCTAATAATAGCTTTTGCTTTTGGCCTGTCATAACTACTGACTAATGCATCTGTGGACAGGATGGGTGCACTCAGTTCTACTAATTCAATAAAGCAAGCACCTTTCTGGAGAATGGGACAAATTTATCCTTGGAATCACTCCATATACTTAAATGATTTACAGCTGAGATGAATTTGCCCCCCTTGGGTCCTATTCAGGGAACACTATTCATCATTTGTTCAGTTATGCTCATAAAGTACAGAGGTGAATTTTTATTTTTATTTATTATTGTGTTTTAAAAACACTAGGAAGTCTTGAAAGAAATCAGTAATATAGCAGTTCTAAACTCTGCAAAGCCTACAGTGAGAGCTAGGACCTGGAAGGTAAGGGAGTGTTACCCTGCTTTTGCAGATGGAAGCTTGCAGCAAGCTATTTGTGGTAGAGACCTCAGATCAGGCACTTAGCTAGTCTTTTGTTTAATTTGGCCATTCCTTCCAGCCTTTGTGCATGTGTGTGTTTATTTCTTAAAAAGGACTTTTACCTTCCTAAGTATTTGACAAAAAAATACTTGAGTGAGAATCGGCAATTTTAGAAGAAAAACTTCCTCTAAGGATAGTATACTTTTGAAAAAATAGTTAGGATCATAGCCTTGTCTCGTGTGGGTTATGATTATACTTAATGCATATTGATAGCAAGTAAGAATCATTAGAGAATTTAAAAGAGAAGTCTCTAAGAACGCAGGTCAGGTTGGCTTTAGCCATTTAGTTGAAATTCAGGTTGGGTGCATCCTTTTTCATGGCATTTGCAATATTCAGCTGTACTTTTGCCTTCTGAGCCTTAGTAGTGAGCAAAGTGGTACTGCGGGGCTCCAGGGAGATCTGCTGGGAAATTTGCAGGTAAAGGAGGTGGGCTTTGAAAACATTCGGAGAACCGTTTGCATACCTGAATACGTAATGTGTTGGGGATAATTTTAAAAGCAATAGCATCAGACATCAAATATTTGTATGTTTTTTGTAGAGTTAAGTTCATGTATTGCATTTTGCATTAGTTGCTTTTTTCTCTCAGGCACACCAGTTGTCGTTCTAGTAGGTGATCCTACCTACAGTGTATTTGCATTTTCTAAAAGGCATCCCCATTCTCGCTTTTTTGCAAGTATATTCCTGCTCTGATGATGGTGGGAGGAAGCAAAGAACCTCTGGTCCTGTAGTGAATTCAGTTGAAAGATGTAAATAGCAAATTCAAATCAGAAACAAGACACTTGAAGCAACTTTTCAACAAGAATTACTTTCTGCTGGAAGATATGTGCTTGTGTAGGTACATAAGTGCACACATTTATACCCCACTTATATCAGGAAGCATTAAAAAAGCAACTCTTAAGATCTGGCTTTGGCTTGTGTGCCCAGAAATTTCCAAGAAATTCAGCATGTCATCATGGTAGCCTCGCTGAGTGCTTTCCAGACAGGTCACTGCCTGATTGCTGGTTGAGAGCTTTATTCCTTCTCCAACATTTTGGAATTCTCTTTGGGAATCTTCTTGCTGAAGTGGCCTCCTGGTAGCAGGTTTATGAAGATCACAAAGCTCGGTGCTTGTTGAATCATCAACATGTATCGGGATAAAGACATTTTGCCTAATGTGAGCTAGATTCTTGTCAGCTATGTAAGGGGTACCACGCTGTTCCTTTCCCACACCAGTCTGGTGATTTATCTCTTTTTCTAGTACCAGGCTGGTGAAACAGGATGATGTCTTGTCTTCTGTTCATGCTCTAGCTCTTTATGAAATGAATTTGAAGAAGTTTCTTCCATGTAGAAAAGAGATAGGTGCGGATAGACGTGGCAAGAGATCAATCACATACTATCTGTTCTCCTGCAAGCACTTGGGATCATCAGATGAAAGTAGAAGGTAGCAAGTTTGAAGCATTCAAACTTCACAACAGGTTGCTATGGAAATAAATGTTTACTTGAGCTTAGGGAAGAGTGGTAAAATTTCATGGAAGAGGAATCTGCTGGGGTACATTGAAAACCATAAATTTCATGGAAGAGGAATCTGCTGGGGGTACATTGAAAACCATATCGAGCTCAAGAGGCTCTGGTCTGAAGACGGTCACAACTTTACCCTGCTCTTACCCTCTTCACTAGGACTCCTTTCAGGAGCGCTGCTGGAGGGAGCATGCTGATTGGTAAGATACTAGAGATGAGGGTAGCACAAAATGCTGCCCTTCTGCTTGGAGCAATGGCAGACTAGTCTGTGCCGAAACCGGTGGTGAGAACAAGCTTAGCGATTGCGTTAGCTTGCTTCGTGGTTTGGAAGATACTTAGCCAGTCAAGATCAAACACAATTCTGAGTGCTGCATCTTTAGGTTAGACTGAATATTGGAATATGAATTAGGCGGCATGTTTGGCTCATTTTATATCTCAGTAATTGAAATCCGTAGCAAGAGCGTAGCAGAGGACATAAACTTGTTTGTTCTTTCTGTTGTTGAGATTCCAGTGTAGATCTCCAAACCCTCTGCATGTTGTCCTGATAACAGCCTTCCACAAGCACAGCTACTTCTGCATACGTTGCTTGCTCTGAAGAACTGTGTTGGCTTGTCCACATTTTAATTTGACCTTCGCTTTCTAACTTAGGGGAACTTCTGGGGGACTTTTCTGTGCTCAAGCAAAAACTGCACTGCAAGGAATTAAGTTGTTGGTGCAGAAAGTAATTAAATACCCCAACATGCTGCAGAGTGAGAATAGGTAGTACAAAACACATGCCCTGAATAGGACCCTGTCAGAGTGCTTGTCTGCTGCAAGGATGGGAAGGAATTCATACACCTGAGGGAAGGAAGCTCTAAAGAGTAGCTGTTTATCACACACGCTTCTCCTTGCTCCTCGCTTGAAGCCATACAAGATGCATAAAGGGTAGCAGATGGCTTACAGACCAGTTGCATAATGCTTCTGAGCAGAG